GGTTAACAGGCTCCATCTTCTTCCTCTTCTTCTTTGTTGAATTCTAGAGAGAGAGAAAATGTGTAGATCTTGAGATATGTTCTTGGTGCCTCCACTCTTCTTTTTTCTTCTCACCCTAATCTTTAACTTTTATAGAGAGAAAATAAAATTACAATGTAAAAGTAAATTGATAAAAAGCTCTTCTACAAAATGGTTCAATTCCCTTTAAAATACAAGATCCTTTTCTTAGTCACTAAGTCAGAAATACAGCCCCAAAAATATCTAATCCTGCAATTATGTGGTAGGTGGAGTTCGGGCACGTGGGAATAAGACAGCTCACTGCTAGCACATTTTCGATCGATCCAAAATATCTTCGATCGATCCAACTTTTCTTCGATCGATCAGAGTTGGTTCGATTAATCAAACTTTTCTTCGATCGATCAGACTTGGCAGTTTTTCAGCATCAGTCTCCTTTTGCTCCAGATCAGCCTCCTTTTGGTCCAGATTCTCACTAAGACTTAGTTTGACTCTAAAAAGGCCTTAAGAAACCATTTTTAGTCCGTTTTAACATTATTGACCAGAAAAAGGAAATAACACGAAGTTAATCTAAAAGGGGAAAATAAGATAGATAAAGGTCCTAGAATTCTCGAGCTTAAAGGGTTTAAATGCGCACTTTTCAGCACTCATCACTAGCTACATTCAACCATCCAAGGCACTGTATAGCGCAACAGTGCTATTCCAGAAGAAGCAGGATGGCTCAATGCGGATATGTGTGGACTTCAGGGCTCTGAATAAGGTGACTGTAAAGAACAAGTACCCTTAAATGTCATCTTCAAAGTGCGATTCGTTACATGCTATAGCAATATTGTTCCAATATCGAAAACATAATCTCATGAATATAATACAAGTCTAAAATCATGATTTCAATATTCAATCAACGTCAAATACATGATTAAGTCACTAATGCCATAGAATCATAAATTAGTTACATAAACTAATTAATTTCTCTAGATTTCAAATCTCATCCAAATGCTCTCAAATTAAGCTATGTTAAGGAACATGTCAAGGCTTAATTTAATATCACATTATAAGTTACTTCCATGCAAGATACAACCATGAGAATTAAACTTTCATACAAGAAAATAATTAAATAAAAGTCTCAAATTAAACCTATTCAAATATTCTTAATTTAATATATATGAAAAAATATAACATACTCATCAACAATATCAAGTTAAAAATTTAATTAAGTAATTAGAACACTTAAAATAAAATTAATTAATCTAATTAATTATTTTTCTCTAGATTTTCAAACAACAAAATGTTTTTGACATTAAACCCCTGAACAATATAAATTTAAGAAAAATTTGAAAATTACACACCATTGAAGGGATATCATAATGACGAGAAGGGGTTTATAGTGACGAGGCCGCTTGTATACGTCAAAATAATGTAGTGAATGTGCAGTTCAAGAAAAGCCTTTTAAATTTATAAAAACCACTACCAACACTACTACTAACGTAGCAAGAGTGAGTAGGGATCGTCCCAAGGGATTATACATGTTGGAATTTAACTTCAACTCTAGCGTATCACAAGATTGCAAAAGAGATTTGATGAGATGATTAAACTACTTCAATTAATGAAAATATAATTAAAATAAACTAAGTAGAGATAGGGATTTAAGAGATATAAAGAGAGGACTTAGGGTGTTGGAATCACCTCTAAGCTCATGTAATTAACCACTTGTTTTTCATTAATGGGGAATACATTGTTGTGAACAAAATGCGACTACCAATTGCAATATTAAGCATGGACCATCTAATTTATGTATGAATTGTCTACCTAAACTAAGTGTAGCACAACCCATTAATTTTAAGCATGACCCATCTAGGTTGCAACAATTGTAGCACACATCAATCTAGAGAATCATGGAATTTGCAATAATAAGCCATGGAATATCTAAGCAAGCATAGATTGTCTACCTACCTACAAGCATGAATTAAATTATAGAACAACTCATCAAGCATAAGTATAAACCATCAAATTAATTAACAAACCTATTCAATGAAAACCCATGCTTAGCCATCACTAGATTTTTAATCAACCACACATAGACATGCAATTAATATAGAAAAACTAATGTAGAGATCAATTCCCAAATAATCACACATAAGACAACATGTAATTACAAAGAGAATCAATAGGAAGAATTAAATCATATGAATCATGTGAGACATAATTCCTAATTTTATCACACATAGACATGTAAATAAACTAGAGAATTAATAGGAAGAATTAAACCATAGAAATCATAGAAATGGACCAATATTCATTAAATTCACAAGGCTAGAGCACTAATCACAACAATATATATATAAATCCCCAAAAATAGAAATACAAGGGTTTAGATTACACAAGACTTAGGACTCATCCAAGCCCTAAGTGTAGATCTAGCCAATCATGGAGGAGGTGGATGTGGTCATGAAACCCTCAAGGGTAAGCTCCAAATATGGCTCCATCTTCTTCTTCCTCTTCTTCTTCTTCTTCTTTGAAGCTCTAGAGATGGAGAGAGAGTGGATCTAGAGATGTGTTCTTGATATGTGCCTCCACTTCCTTCTTTTCTTCTAACCCTAATCTCTAACTTTGCTAAAGAGAGAAATAAAAAATACAATGTAAAAAATAAAAAGATAAAAAGCTTTTTACAAAATGGGTCACTTCCCTTTATATAGAGGTCCTTTTCTTAGTCACTAAGTCAGGAATATAGCCCCAAAAATATCTAATACCGTACTATATAGTAGGTGGACTTTTGGGCGCGCACGGGAATAAGACAGCTCGCTGCCAGCAAAAGTTCGGTCGATCCAACTTTAATTTTCGATCTATCTGAGAAAAGTTCGATTGATCTCACTTTTTCTGCGATCGATCTTAGAAAGTTGGATGGATCCAACTTGAGAGTTGGATGGATCCAACTTGGCAGATTTTCAGCATCAGCCTCTTTTTGCTCCAAATCAGCCTCATTTTGCTCCGAATCAGCACTAAGACTTAATTTGACTCCAAAAAGGCCTTAAGAAACCATTTTTAGCCCATTTTAACATTATTGACCTAAAATAGACAAAAACACAAATAAGTACTAAAATGGAAAAATAAGATAGATAAATGTCCTAGAACACTTAAGCTTAAGGGGTTTAAAAGTGCACTTTTTAGCACTCATCAAATAGGAAAATGGAGGCGAGAATATGTCGGGTGCGATCATACCAGCGCTAATGCACCGAATCCCATCTGAACTCCGTAGTTAAGTGTGCTTGGGCGAGTACAGATTCGACGGCAATCTATTTTCAGGGTTGGAGCAGATCACGTAGTCCGATGATGAGCTCACTCGTAGGGGCATCGATGCCATCATGACACCGGCAGACACTGTAGTCTATCCCTGGGTGGTTGCATTGCTCTTTCAGCATCTCCGGTTGGATGAGGATGATAGACTCTTGTTGCATACCACTATAGACCACCAGGAGATTGACATCTCTATCCCGACCATAGCTGTTGCTTGTCGATGCCCCCATCTATCTCCATCGATTGCTGACTCTGAAGATCTATCATATCCCAGCACTCCACCTTATCCCTCTGAGCTGACCATGGTAGCGACTCTATCTCCACATACTACCTTTAAGGGCAACACCTTTGCAGACCGGGTTGACATTGATCCCCGATGTCGAGTCCTTAATTGTCTGTGAAAGTACTATGGTGGATAAGTTCAATTCTTGTCGAAGTAGTCTTTGATTAGCTGATAGTGGCTTCTCTCCCGGTTATGATGAATGTACCTCTTCTTATTACGAACTTGAAATACTTGCTCAACTATCTCTGGCCTCACTGAATTCATAATCTCATATAATTCATCTTGATCTTGTTGAATCAACGCGACAATAGAGTTATCTTCTGATGAGGAAGATGAAGATTAGAGTCTGCCAAAGAAAAAGCTTGTGATGATGAAGCCATTAGAATTTTGAAATTGAAGGAGATGGATTGTAATATTTTGCTATAGTAGAGAGATGAATGTAGTGATGATTTTCATATGAGCAAATGACTGAAAAGTCAAAAAAGAAAAAAAAAAAAATTAATTTATATTTTATTCTTGGTGAGCAAAACTCTAGAGTGCCCGCTTCTAGAGAGCCAAAACTGTTGATGTAGCTTTGGGAATTGCTGACGTATCTCTTAGAAAAGTTGAAGTGCCATTTTTGGAGAGTGAAAATTCGGAGAGGTTGGCGTGAATGCTCTTACACTTTTATAATAGTGTATGTAAATATATAGATATGTGTAAACATGGGTGGTGGGATGAACCCAAGGCGGATGGGGATGGTGGTCCAATTGCAAGTCGGTCCGGTTCACAAAATATGGATTGGGCTTCCATGAATCATATGTGTGGCCCTTTACGGTTGGGTCAAGGAATTAGGAAGGGGCCAAATACCAGATTGAAGAATATACAAAGAAAGAACATCGAGACCTGTCTAAAAAGTCTCATCTAGAGTTTTATGCTCACGCATAAACGGTGTTTCCATGCCCTACGGTCCACTTAAAGGGAAGCCCTTCCATTTCACTTCATACCACCAAAACACATGACTATTTTTTTTAGCCTTGTCAAATTACTTTAATACCCATCAATTTTATGTGACCCACCCTAAAAGAGAGGTGAGTGGTCTGAGTCCCACCACCAGATAGATTTATCAACTGTGTGAAAGTGCATTGCTTACAAAAATAAAAATAAAACTAAAATGTCATTATTAGGACTCAAATTGGAAATTGTTTGAATTATTTCAACACGACATCCTACATTTTTTTACTTAATTTTGAATAATTTTTTTATTTCATAAGTTACTTATTTTTTATTTCTGTTTCATAAGGATAATTATGTAATTTTCTTACTAAATTAACATGTAAATGTTGTTGAAAAGCAGGATATATGCAATTATGCAAAAAGGTCCAAAAAAAAAAAAAAAAAGAACGTGTGCAAGTGCAAAATGTGAGGCGTGAATATCATAGTTTGGTGGGCTGGACAAGATATGATATTCCAGGAGGCCCTACTAATTCTCCAAACCGAATTTCTCACTCACTCTCTCTCTCTCTTCCCCCAAACTTCGACGATACGAACGAGACACAGAGTAAACAAAGTAGCAACGAAAACGAAACTCTCTGTGTGTCTCAAATGCTATCTTTAATTTCTCAACATACAATAAACCCCCACCTATAGCACACACATGTAGTCAAACCCTAACATTCTCTTCATCTCATTTCTATATATTTATATATATATGAAGTGAGAGCTGTGACTGAAACATTTCACAGTATTCAGGAAAAGTTATTCTCATGATCGTTGCTTCCCAATGGTACGTCTCGTATCTATCTAATCATTTTCAATCAGTTTTTGCAATTTACTTATGTGTGTGTATGCACATTGATATGAAGTTAGGTGATAGATCTGTTTTATAATGGTTGGGTTGACTCAATTCATTGCAATTTGGTGAAAATCAGTGATCTTGTTGGGATCTCATCACAAAAAAGGAGTTGGAATGTAGATCTAATGTCCAACAGTTCAATTATGCTTATATTTTTGGAGTTTTTGGGTGTCTACTGTGCTCGATCTGAAAATTTTGTGGATCTGTCTTCCGATCGATGCAATTCTTGCTCGTCAGTGTGTCTAAATTTAATTTTTTTACTAAAATTTATGTCTTGATTCTTTCACTAGTATTGCAACTCTTCGCAAATAAGTTTGGATTGGCTACTTGTAAGTGTAGTAAATTGGGCACACTAGAATTCTAATCTGTAATAAATTTCCAGATCTTGATTATAAAGTTCTTTGCAAATTGGGCTAGAACGGTCTGAATTTAGTTGTTCCATGTTTGATAAATTGGTGGTTGTTCTTGTAATATGCTGGTCTATTGGCAGAACGGAAGACCAGCCTAATTGAGAATCAAAAAAGAAAAGAATAATGAGAAAGTAAAAATCAAGACCAGACACTACACTAATATTTTCGCTTTTTTGATACTTGATTTATTGCCAATTAAATTTGATTTTAAGCGAAGTTTGTTTGAATCAATATCTAAAGTTCCATATTTGATAAATTGGTTGTTATTGTAATATGCTGATCTATTGACACTACACTAATGTTTTCACTTTTTTGCTACTTAATTTATTACCAATATCTAAAGCTTCAGTTTTTTTATCTTTGCAAGTTTTATAAATATCTACTTCTAAAATCAATATCTAAGGGTCTGTCTGTTTGGAATGTGTTATGGACCTTATGGTATTGTTTCTCTGATACTAGTCTTCAAATTTGGGACAGCTGATATTGGTTTGAAATAAATAGTTCATAACCTATCAGATTTTTTGGGCCAAACTCATATCACCAAATTTGTGATATTGTGTGTTTTGGTACGGTAGCGGAATAACTAAAACAAATTTCCAAATTTTCACCGAACAAATTTTTGTTACCAAACAGGGTTCCGATTTCTGCCCAAAACACTCCTACAACAAAATGGTTGTATTGATTTTGACCAAAAACATAACGCCTAACATATCACATGCCAAACGGACCCAAAGCTTCATTTTTGTGTTACACTTTTATATGTTTTTGAGTTTTACACAAATATATATTTCTAAAAAATATTGTGTGAAAGAGTGCCACTAGCTATACTGACAATATTTTGTATTATATTTCTGTCATAAAGGTGATTTCTGTGATTTTAATCGAATGTAAGTTGCACAAGCTTTGTTATTTGTTCTGAATTTTTATGTCCATCTTTCAGAAAATTTGGGTGATGAAGTGGACAAAAATCCCAATTTTACATGTGGAAATACAAGTATTATGTTATTGAGGAGGAGGGTTGAAGATTCTTCAGTGATTAGTTTTGGAAAGAAAAAATGAAAATGGCTCCAGCAAGCAAGGCTGATAAGAAGGCAGCACTTGATGCAGCTGCATGGATGTTCAATGTTGTCACAAGTGTTGGGATTATCATTGTTAATAAAGCTTTGATGGCTACATATGGCTTCAGTTTTGGTAAATTTCTTGTTTATTTCCACTAATTATTGCATGCTTTGTTTTGTGGTAAAGATATGTTATTTCCTGTTTTTCACTGACCATTTCCCTCAGAATAAACAAAATTATATATTCATTGGGAAATTTTTTTCATTTAATGAAATTGCAACTTGCAAATGGTCAGAGCGCTTATGATAACTCTCAATCAAATGATAGTGGTGTACAATCAAAAGGAAAATCAAATGATGGGTGTGACACCTCATATTTTTTTAATTGCATTGAAAATCTTGATGAGAAATGGATAAAGAATGTGCATTTCTTTTTTATAATAGGATTTGGAGTAATTAATACTTTTTTCAGAAATGATTACAATAATTATTAAATGGTTGCATTGGACAAGGTGGCGTAGACTTTTCTATTGTTTTTCTTCACGTGGCGCTGCCTACCTTTTCATTTTCTCTGTTTATGCCATTTTTGTTTTGTTTTCTTCTATTATTTTGGTTTGTTTTCTTGTTTTTAGACATTGCATTTTTTTTAATGCTCTCATTATGGTTTAGTTCGTTCTACTTCTCTCCTTTTCCTTTGCTGTTGTACTTTTCTATCTGTATTTGTTCAACTAATCTTCGTCATTCTATGAGTATTATTTCTTTGTTGGTTAGTTCCCCGTTTGTGTGGTCTCTTTTTATTTAATTCTTTCTCTAGTAGTCAGTTTTATTTCTTTTTTATGTAGTATCTCGAATTCTAAACCTCACATTAGTTCTTGTTTCAAACTTGCTTAGTTTACCAGTTGTGTGTTAAAATCCTTGGCGGACCCATTAATTCTACCTTCTTTCATTTTTTCTTTTTCTTTTTTTTTTTTTTTTTTTTTTTCCCCCTGGGCCATCCTGAAGTTTAGTGAGGTTTCCACATTAATTTCCTATCGCACCAAAATTCATTTAAACCTTCATTACCTACATTGTTGTGCGACATTAGGTATTATTTACTGAATTAAGCATTAAGAATTCAGGCAGCCAAGCATATGAATGATAGATTGGGACCTAGGATGTCATTATTCCAATAATGAGCTCATGGCATTATACTTCCTTTTATCCCAGGGTTCTTCATGTCATTTAGTCACTTTATAATAAAATCAATTTCTGAATAAGATACTCCCCAACAGATTATATAGGGATTGAGATTTTAGCAAAGGTGGACCATTTTTACATATTTACCTATAATACACGGAACTAGACATGTGATTGAGTGGGCTTGTATATTCTTAAATTCCAAACCTTAAGGTACAAGGACTTGACTTGAAATGTGTCCAAAAGTTGGGTATGGTATTTAGACATATCCCATGAATCCTACTATAAGTGTCATTACCTAGTGCATGTCGTGCCTGTGTAGGGTTTCGGGAGGGGAAGCGTGGACAATGATCTAATCCCTTGGCACTATTTTCCATTTGCTATTTTGAGACTAGAACCCGCATCCTTACATTTAATGCCATAAACAATGTGACACGCTTGTCAGACATGTGTTCATGATTGAAATAATCACATCCTAATCCATCTTTCAACCATAGTGTGTCTCAATAAATGAGCTTAACCCATCTTTATTTTTAAAACTTTCTTTAAACTCCCTAAACAATGTGACACGTGTCAATGGTGTGTTTGAAAATTAAGAAAGTAGAAAAAAATCTTTAGACACTTCTATTGGTGTGCTCGCCAGGTGTTGGGCTGTGTCTGATTCATGTCGGTGTTCAACACATACCCGACACGGATTCTCTGATCTCCTAGGCTTTGTAGTAGACTAAGTTTTGCAGAGCAGAGTATGGGAGCATTAAGATGGTTGAGTGGCAAGAGTACAAACTACGAAGCATAGAAGTAGAAATGTATGTGTAAGAAGAAAACCTTTTAGTGAGCCATTTATAGAACAATTAAAGGAGAAACATGATTGAGATGGCTTGATCATGGGCTGAAAATACTACAGCAGTACCACTAGGACAGTATAATTATAACTTATATCCCATAGGTTTTAATGTCCTAGATGGCAAACTTCAAGGACAATGATTGAAGTGGTCAACAACAATGAGAACTTAGTGTATAATACACATGTAAACAGATCTAACAGAAATGCTGTTGATATGAAGTAGTTGGGATATGGATTGGATGATGATGGTATTGACAACAATGGTTTTGATAAGTAAATGATGACTATAGTCTATTTTTTTTTGTAATAAGTAAATGATGACTATAGTCTATAATGACAATGAGCTTCTTTTGCTGAGTAGATAGATCAATCAGTTTTATTCCTTTAAACATTCATCTCAATGTTTGTTTATCATAAGGTTGTTTTACCTTTTACTTGCTTTAATCCTTGCAGCTACAACATTAACTGGTTTGCATTTTGCTACCACAACCTTGATGACGTCTTTTCTTAGATGGCTGGGGTACATTCAAGCATCTCATCTACCCCTTCCAGAGCTTTTGAGATTTGTCTTATTTGCGAATTTCTCTATTGTTGGAATGAATGTTAGCCTAATGTGGAATTCGGTGGGATTCTATCAGGTACATTATAAAATGTCTGAGTTGTTATTGTTATAATTTCAGCGTTTATATATATAATTAAACTGTTAGAGTACTCATCCAAAATAAATAAATAAATAAATAAATAAATAATTTCAGATAGCAAAGCTGAGTATGATCCCTGTATCCTGCTTACTGGAAGTTGTTTTGGACAAAATCCGCTACTCAAGAGACACAAAGCTCAGTATCACAGTGGTTCTCCTTGGTGTTGCTGTCTGCACTGTTACTGATGTCAGCGTTAATGCTAAAGGTTTCATTGCTGCCTTTATTGCTGTTTGGAGTACAGCTCTACAACAGTATGTAAGTTGTCTATTCCTCTACTTTATTATCTTATTAATTTCTCCAAGCTTAAATAAAACTTCTATTTTCATCTTATTAGAGTTTGCCTGAATTACCTACTTCGACACATTTGTTACAGAAGTCCTTGAGATAATTGATTGTGATAGTTTTCCTGTTTGGTAGACCTTATCTTCTTAAACACTCTTCGAAGTTCCTTAGATGGCATATTAAGTTGAAATTCTTTCTTCCTTCTTTGAAGATTGTATCTAGTAACTCTATTTTTTATTTTTTAATATGCAGTATGTACATTTCCTTCAACGCAAGTACTCACTCAGTTCCTTTAATCTGTTGGGACATACTGCACCCGCCCAGGCTGCATCTTTGCTGTTAGTAGGCCCCTTTCTGGATTATTGGTTGACAAACAAGAGAGTTGATGCCTTCGACTACAATATAGCATCTTCAGTAAGTACTGCTTCAATATAGCATCTCTGCTGTTATCTGTAGGGAGAGATGTGTATCGTTTCAATAAAAATTCTGGGGAAGGTTTCCAAAAACTTGGCTCCATTCTACTCTTATCTTCTAATGAATATGCTTGAAATTCTCTATGGAAGTTATGGACATTCGTTGCTATATTCAAGGTCTGGACTTTCAAGATTCACTAAATTATGGTTTTTGTGAACACCATGAGATAGGCTATTTAAATTTGTACAATTTCTTTTCTGGCAAGTGTCGTCATGATACTGAATTTAAGTTGGTTGTTTGGAGATTCTGAAAAGCACCTTTTTTTAATTTTAATTTTTTTATTTTTGTGGGTCTAAGGCATCATTGTACTCATTGTCATTCATAACTAAACACAAATAATCTGGCATCAGTTTTATACTATACTAATTCCGGGTTTTTATCGGACGCTATGCTTTTCCATTGGGAACTAAGTTTTGTGACATAATGATATATGCATATTGTGTCATATGGTGTTTCTTTGCCATGGATGCCTGCATTTTTCTGGGTTTATAAGAATGGTCTCTCACAGTTGTCTCTGTATATTGGTGCAGATTTTTATAGTCCTTTCATGTACTATTGCAGTAGGAACCAACCTCAGCCAGTTCATCTGCATAGGCAGATTCACGGCGGTGTCCTTCCAAGTACTTGGCCACATGAAGACGATCCTTGTCTTGATCCTGGGTTTCTTATTCTTCGGGAAAGAAGGTCTCAATTTACACGTGGTCATCGGCATGGTCATAGCTGTTGTTGGAATGATCTGGTATGGCAATGCTTCATCTAAACCTGGTGGGAAGGAGCGTCGAAGCCATTCAATTTCTAGCAGCAGACATCAGAAATTGTCAGAATCTTCTGAAATAGATGAGAAGGTCTAAACATTTACTGAATTTTTAAGTCTACCATACAGGGAATTTTTTAATCATCTGACGTTTAGTACACCCTTCCCAAACCATTTGAGTTTCGATTCCTCATTATTCTGTAATTTTTATATATTTCTTTTCTTGATATTAAATCCCTTAAAGGGGTATGGATACTTTGAAATAGGTTTAGGTTCAATTCTCCCCGCCATTTTGTTCCATCGTTATAATTTATAGTGATTATTTTTTTGCTTGTTACTTATTACTTATTTCTTCTTTCTTCGCATCTAGTAAAAAAAATTCGGAATTATTTCTTTTTTGTCAATTCTTCTAACCAAACAATTGAATCGCTTATAATGATAACTATTCAATTTCTGTTTTTTTTTTTTTTTTTTTTTTTTTTTTTTTTTACTTATTATTGACCGGGCAAAATCAAGAAATAACCCCGCACGTCCCAAATTATAGAAGATCTCCTTGTATACTATTCTGTTGTAAAGAAACGATCTTATCATAGATCTATTTAGGTCTTGAAATTATATAATTATCCTGGAAACGGAAGAACTGTTGAATACACGGGTTTATGTACAAAGAATGGGCAAATCAAGGGAATGTTATGTTGAAACCGTGTGAAACCTTCACCAGGGTTTATGTACAAAGGACGGGCAAACCAAGGGAATGTTGTTATGTTGCCTAGAAGGGTGCACTAATTCTTTGAATCCAGAGGTACTGAAGCCTTTGCTCTAAATGATTTATTTTGTATTGAAAAGCTAGGGCTTCGGAGTTCTTGTGGACATTGAAATTCCATCCAATAAAGCGGAAGAATTATAAATCTCCAAAATAATAGATAGAAATACCGCAAATAGAGCCATTGCAAATTTGCATCACCCATCAAAGGAGTCTTCCCCATCCAAGAGCTACTTTACCATATTTCGATTTCAATATGGAATATTGAATTCCATATTCCAACAAGTATGAGCCGATTCCAATATGCATGATGGAATCAAGTGGATTTACTTTTGAAAGTTCTTTTAGTATTCTTTTTATAAATAGAATGCTTTTGATAACCCATTTTTTTGTTTCGTTTAAAATCCTTAGAAGTTCGATTCTTTCTTTTAAAACTCTTAGAACTATAAAAGACTTATTTTTCAATTACCCAATTTTATTTTCGAATTCCTTAAAAATAGATTCAAAAAAGGAAGGCCGTTTTTGAGGAGAACCAAAAGGAAGGTTGGTTTCCATTCCCCAAATTGTTAAAAAACAAAAATCGGTTTTTTGTACTTTTCCTTTCTTTTTCATTTGATCTTTTATGGAAGGGTTGTAGCTTTGATTTGTGCAAAGGTAAAGTATAAAATATTGTTTTTTATTCGATGGTATAAAAAGATTCCTTTGTTTGCTTTTCGTTTTTTATTTTTACTCCAATTGTCATTTGTAGGTAAGTGTAAAAGAAGCAATTTTTGCTTGGAATAACTCATGGTTTCTGTTTGGCTCACGAAAAATCGGCGGCAAGTCCTTTTCGGGTGGGTGAAAAGGGGTGTGGGCATGCTAGGAACTACTGTCGTTCCAAATGGGAGCTCCAAACAATATTCCAATAGAAAGTTGTCGGGATCAGATGATTGTATGAAGGAAGCTTGGAATGACCACTTTCAGGGGTTCTTTTTGCCTTGAAAAAGGACTTCATGATTATTCTATAGCTAGTGGAAAGAAAGACCAAATTAAAAGTGCAGGACTTGTAATTGAGAGGGCTATGAACTACTTGCTGGAAAGTAAGAAAAGAAAGTGCTAGACTTGTATTAGACATAATTGAAATATATTACTGGAATGTAAATGTGACCGCCTTGGTTTTTCAAGCCAGTGCGTCCTGTGATGAACCGAAGATTGACCCGATAACGGATCCAGATGTGGAAGCAAAAAAATAAAACAACGGTCTCCTAAGGCACAACATGCCTCTAAGACACTTTGATGACCTTCATGAGGTCATGAAACTCAATGACAACTGACACGGAAGCAAAAGATCAGAAATATAACAAATAAGCCCCTAGGGGCAAAATAGTCATTTTGTAAAAATATGGATTAGGTGCTACCGAGCACACCGCTGGAAAGGTAATGAAAAACTAATCATGATGGATTCAAGAATCGCATGATTCAGAGTTCGGACGAAAGAGAAACGGCAAAACAAAGAAAAACGGACATATAAAGCAAAAAGGGTAAACTGGTAATTATTTAGAAATATCTGGGCATAACCGAGCACACCGTTAAATAGACGACAAAAAAATTAATCAAGTTCAAATTTTTTTTTACTCGATTTGGATTCCGGACGTGGGAGAAAGGTCAAAAACAAAAACAATGTCGAGGCGGCCCGACGAGGGTCACGACTGCTACAGTGCTGCCAACCCACTACTGCTGCAACTGAGAGTAAAAACGGGCATCTAAACGGACTTTTTTTGAAAAACTCAAAGAAGAAAATCCCCCTAAAATCAAGTTTTCTACCCAGCAAAGAGGACGGAAACAAAAAAAAAATGTATTGTAAAATACCCAGAATGCCCCCAAGAAAATCAGGTCAAGAAGGTAAAAATCAGTCCTAGCTACTGCCCAAGAAAAGGAAATGGGGCTTCGGGAGGTTTTTAAATTGCCTTAATTGAAAATGCAATCTTAAAATACATCCACAAGACCCCCGGAAGTTTCGGATCGGTCGTCACCCTTTTTAAGAAAAAGTCGATGAATAGTACCAAGTACACTTGTATTAAAATTCAGCAAAACCTTGGCAGCAAGGATTTTTCAGAAAAAAAAAAAGGGTTTTTGAGGGCCAAGATGACGTTTTCTGGAAAAACACAAAGAAAAAACCCCCTCCAAAATCGAGTTTTCTACTCGACTTCGTGAGCGAAAATGAAAAAAACGCATTACGAAATACCCGAAATGCCCCTGGAACAGAATAGGGTAAAAACTCAAAAAAATGCAACCTTAAGTTTTTGTTTCATCAAGAAGAGTATTTGTGACGACCCTGGTTTTTAGGCCAGCGTGTCCTGTGATGAACCGTAAGGATGATCCGATAACGGATCCGAATGCGGAAGCGAAAACAGATAACAAGACTCTAAGAAGTCAAAGTGACCTTCCATGAGGTCGTGGAACTCAACAAGAACTGATGCAGAAGCAAAAGATCGAAAATATGACAAATAAGCCCCCAGGGGCAAAATAGTCATTTCTGAAAACTGTAGATTCGGGTGCCACCGAGTACACCGCTGGAAGGACAACGAAAAACTAATCAAGATGGACTCAAGAATCGCATGATTTGGAGTCTGGACGAAGGAGAAACGGCATGACGAAGAAAAACGAGCACTTAAGGCAAAAAGGGTAAACTGGTAATTATCCAGGAAGAATCGGGTGTAACCGAGCACACCGTTGGAAAGACAGGAAAAATTAATCAAGTTAAAAAAAAAATTCACTTGAATCGGAGTCCAGACGAAGGAGAAAAGCCCAAAAGAAGTGTTGACGTCGCGGCGGCCCGACGAGGGGCCATGGCGCACACGGCGCCCATGCGCGAGCCCACCGGCGTGCATGTCGGCGCCCAAAGACATGGCATGATGGCAGCCCTTGGCTGCTGCTACATTTTTTTTGATCTGCACAGAACTGAGGCTTGAAACGGAGGTCAAGACGAGTTTTTCTGGAAAAACACGAAGAAGAAACCCCCCTTAAAATCGAGTTTTCTACTCGACAGCGTGGACGGAATCGAAAAAAACTCACTGTGAAATTCCAAAAATGCCCCTAGATCAGAATTGAACAAGAGGGTCATAAAACTGCTAAATGAAAACTAGAAGCTGAAACTTCACGAGGGATTTCCGGTACCAAGACGACATTTTCTGGAAAAACACGAAGAAGAAACCCCCCCTAAAATCATGTTTTCTATTCAACCATCTTAAAAGAAGAAAATAAAACTGATGTGAAAGGTCCATAATGCCCCTAGATCAGAATATGCAAAAAAGATGCGAAATGAATTCACAAGAGGCTCAAAACACAAATGATGAGGTTTTGCCCGGAAACGACCATGCACGCAAACATAACTTACCTATTTAGACGCCATACAATGGTCCATGGCTTAAAAATATAGTTGATACAAAATCCGACCCCCCAACGGGCAAAAAGGCAAAAATGGACTTGGAATGGAAAACATGGAATCCAAAAATGCAAAACGGGATCAAATGACCGTTTGGCCCTTGGCCACACTTTATACAAGATTAATAAGACCCTATAAAAGAATGAAAACGGAATTCCCGCACCCTATGCAACTATGGTGAAGTAATGACTTGCGATTTTTCAAGGTTTCCATAATATTTCATGAAGTTAAAAAGTTATATAGAATACAGTATACATGTCATTGGCCTCCGGCCTCATCTCATACATGTCAAATACATTGAAAGGAGTGTACTTAAGTACACATTACATACATGGAATCAAATATACATATTTTGACATATAAGTCTACAAAATGACATTTCATGCTAACATTTGCATGAAATGGAAACTTGAAAGCTACACGACATCCAAGAAATACTAGGCGTCACGAACCAAGACTTCGTACCTGAAATATGCCCCAGTATTGTAGGGGTGAGTAACATAAAGCTACTCGTAGGAGATGAGCATGCATCGACCTAACATTTTACAAATTTATCACCTTATGGTGAAACATGTTAAAGGGGCTCATGCCACCTAACGTCTATGTCCAAGTAAGACTCGGGGAGCATCCTAAGCTACCTTAGAGTCTAAGCAACAAGAATCATGATATACATACATGTATGAAACGAATCATGGTTGGGATAATCCAAAGAACACGACAAGAAGAATGCTTGAGCATAGATTAACATGAACAGCATTTTCAATACAAATTGAACTAGGTCTAGAGTAATCCATACAACATGACAAAAGCATATTTGAATACAAGTTAATAGGAATCACATTATCCATGCAATTCAACAACAAAAGAGCATGTAATATAATACAACAAGGTTTAAGTTCTCAAAGCCATCAACTTAGAATCTAAAGCACAAAATAACAGTAATGGTTCATGCCACCTAACGTCTATTTTATAAATGAATCAATATGATCAATACTAAGCTTTATTAGAACGTCAAAACACGATTTTCAATATCGATGCAATTTAACCAACAATAGAACTTCCAATACAACGCATAAAGCACAATTTCACAAAGTTAACATCCCGTAACTTAAAATGGAACAACAAATAAGAAACAACAAGTTACAACATC